GGGACTCCATTATTCAGTTTATGAAGTTAACGCATGCACCAGATATTGGCCCCCAAAAATAATAATTAAAAAACAAAATTTTAGGAATATATACGGGTTATTATTTTTCTTTCAAAGATTTGGATTTTTTTTTTTATTTTGGTAATTACTTTTTATAGCTAAAGTAGGTGGTAATAGTAAAACTAAATATGAAAATTAAAAATAAAATGAGAGTAATTTTATATTAAAAAAAAATGATATAAGTATACATGAAAACTAACTAACTGTTAGAAACGTGGAAAGTGTAAATTAATTTCCTTACATCATAGTGAGCATTAAATCAAAATGAGTGGGGAATTGGGGATTATTGAATTGTGTAGTATAGAAGAAATATATATATATATATATATATGGAGAAAATCTCTCTGTCTACTTCAACAACCTTGCATGACAACTTATTTCACTATAATACACTAAAACACGACATTTTCATACCATTTTGAAACTTTCTTTTTCGATCTTCTCGGCCATCAACAATCTTTGATTATTACAATTGAAGATTTGCAAGATTATAAGATTAATCAAACATATATTTCTATTCATAAATTCTAGAAAATTAGCATTGCCCAAATTTGATATTTCTACATAAATCCTTAGAATAACTTTCTTACCGTTTTGAAACTTTCTTTTTAGATTTTCTTTACCATCAACAATCTTTGATTTTTACAATGGAAGATTTGCAAGATTAATCAAACATGTATTGTTATTCACAAATTCTAAAAAAATTAGTATTGTCCAAATTTGAGATTTCTACATAAATCCTTAAAAGAACTCCAATTTTCAAAGATTCATGCTATGCGAGACTGATAGAAAGATTGATTGGTTTTGAAAGAAGAATTCAATTATAGGATAAAAACTGATTCCTAATATGAAAGTTGGATGGAAACGTGTAAGGCTTAATGTGCTTTAATCCAAGTATTCACTAGTAAAATAAGTTGTTAATGTGAAGTCTTAGAGTAAGATTAATACCTGTAGATGCTTGAAGAGAGAACTTTTCTTAAAGAGGATCCATTCCCCTTGAGGATGGCCTTTGTATTTATACATAAGATAATATATACACACATAATCTGAAGTTGATAGTCTCTGTTCTTGCAAAACAAAAAAGACGTTGCTGTGGATTAGAATTTAAGAAACACATTAAAGCCTTGGGATGTCCGTGCAGATTGATTAGGCTTTCAGAAGGTGGATGAGATAATAGAGATGGAGGTCAGGAGAAGAGAGATGGTTTTAAAAGTATTTTTAAATGGGTTTTAATTTGAGCTCGGTTAACCCGTTAAAAACGGGTTGATTCATTTCTTAATATATGTTTAATATTATTTAATTATGAGTACATGTATCAAAATTTTGTTAAATTGCATCTCTCCACTAAAAGAATTTCACCGGCCAGTGTCTCGCACTCACCTACAGGGTTATTACAATCCACCCCTCTTAGAGGCCCGGCATCTTCGTTAGCACACTTCCGACTAGGTCAGGTTCTGATACAATGTGTAACAACTCACTTTATCACATGATACGATATTGTCCGCTTTGGGCCTAAACCCGCACGGTTTTGCTCTTAAACTTTATCCCAAAAGGTTTCATACCAATTGGAAATAACACTACCACATATAAGCAGTTTACCTTTTCCTTATTTATGCGATGTGAGATTGTGTACTCGTAACTTGCTTAGTATAGTAGCCCGCCAGTGTCTCACATCCGTTTAAGAAACACCCGCCCACAGTATTATCTACTATTACTTTATGAAACTTTCGTACAGATATGACTCAATATAATTAGTTTTGGGCAACTAGATTAGCATTTTGGTGTTATCCAAACTTGAAAAAGTTTAAATAAATTGCCTGAACTTAGTTAAATTTTTTTTTTTGGTGAAATGAACCTAAATTAATATATATATTTTTATTTTTAACCTCAACCCTAAATTAATAATTCATTATATTATATATAAAACCTATATCTGAAAAAATTATAAAAAATATTGAACTTGACTTTACAATTAACTTAATCATTCTTATATGAGTACGTCCGTGAAGTAACGCTCAACCAAAACTCAAAATTTATGGATAAAAATAAACTTTATGTGACACCAAAGCTGGTGAATCATGTGACTGTATAGAATTCGTATTTGATATGGACAAGTTGATTGTGAGTCTGTGACTTGAAACGTAGGGATATTAAATATATATTCACATTTGAACAATTTCCAATTGAACTTGTCGTGTCTTAATTCTTTAATAATTAATAGTAATGAAGATTGAAGGTGAGACTGCAATCAAAGAAAAATGACAGAATTTTAAAAGAAAAACAATTGAAGTATGATTGAATAAGGAAAATAGAAAAAAAAAAGGAGAAAAAGTTAAAAGAGAATTTTGAGAATTTAATATTTTTAGGGAGATATAATATATATATTTTTATATATATGTAAAAATAATTTAAAAATTTATATATATTATATAAAGTGGGGCCAGATCAAGAGCATGTACCTCCTAGGCATAAGCGGGGTCCACCCCTCTCTCTCTCTCTCTTTATATATATATATAGTATTTGTTTTTATTTTTTGACCAATCAAAGATTCCCATAAACTTTAGTATGATATGTTTAAATCGATGGATATGAAATGAATGAATTTGAGTTAAAATTTGTAAAAAATAAAAAATAAATAAATAATGTATATAAAAAGGAGATATCAATTAATATCATACTTTAGCACTTCCAAAAAAAAAAGTTTAAGTCTATAAAAAAAGGAGTGTTTCTATCATACCCCTACTTAATTATGTAGATGTTGTCTAGCCATTTTAATTATGGATTTGAGTCGGTGCAACGATAAACCATAGAATCATATGAAAATAAATAATGAGAAATTGACTCAAATGTAACTCATATAGTCATATAGGAGGAAAGCTTTCATGCAGATCAAATCAACGGACTTTTCAATTAATCAAAACTCAATTAGTTAATTACACTTTATTACCTTATCTGACTTAACCAAATTAATAATGTTAATTTTAATAAATAATTTATCATAGTTTCAAAAAATCAAATTTAGAAACCTTTTATTAATTTCATGGTAGGATTAAGCAAAATCAGCAATATCTGCTTTCTGTTTGAGACTCCATTATTGGAGGTTTTGCTTATTCACGAACCCTAAAAAATTGGTATCCTTTGAATCCTGAAAAAAAGAGTTATTCATGAAGTGTGGAATAATGGGTCGAAGAAAAAAATTAAGAGAGCAAAAAACATAAAAAATAAATAAGAGAGCAACAGGCCATCAAGCGAAAAAAAAATTAAGAGAGCAAAAAAATAAAAAATAAATAAATCAAAGTGTTAAAAGAAGAAAAAAAAATTAAGAGAGCAAAAAAATAAAAATAAAAACTAAATAAATCAAAGTACTAAAAGAAGAGAGAGAAAGAGAGTTTCTTGGATCGTAGTGGTGAAGATCGTGGCTTTGATGGTGTGGATATGACAATAGTGGTTGAGATTGCAAGATGGAAGAGATTAAGGACGAGAGAAATTGAATGAAGGTATTAGCTAATTATGGTAAATTGACTATTAAAGTTAACATTATTAACTATGGTTAAGTCTGATAAGGTAACAAAGTATAATTGACTAATTGAGATTTGATCCTTTAAAAAATCCCTTGTTTTGGACTACATAAGAGCCTTCGTGTAGTTATATATATATATATATATATATGGACTCTTTTAAAGAACTCTTTCATTGTAGTCTATTTTTCTTTCAATTTTATGTGACGCATACTGATTATTGTGGGAATGGTAAGAGTAAATGCTTTAGATCAGTGATGCAAATCACAAAGGAAAAGATCAAATCCTATCTTCTTTATGGGTTTTGTTGAATAAATCAACTATATTAACAAGAATTAGATTGGCTTGATTCATAAAAAGAAAAAGAAAAAAATAAAACAATAAAAAGGGAATTCCATTACTTAACTAAGAAAAAAAAAAAAAAAAAAAGGAAAAAAACACACCAACAATTAATCATTCATATTTTGTATGCTTCATGAATTGAAAGGAGTGTATATATGGTTGCTTATGAATCCAAATGAATTAAGTTTGTGATGTATTTTTGGTGACTCGGTTATTTTTGGGCTAAGTTTGGATTTAGGATGAGCATAAAAAATTGAACTCCCATATCTCAGGTAGGGAATGTTGTAAAGTAGACTTGACTCAACTTGTAAACTAATAAATTTTATTTATTTTAATTTATTATTATATTTACTAGTATTTTATTTATATGAAAAAAAAATTTAAAAAAAGGGGAAAAAAAAAACTTCTAGCTATGTGTTCAGCAGTCTACATGGGTCGAGCTTAAAGGGAAGTTAAATGTATCGTTGGTATGTCCATTTAATTAAAATACATCATTCTTATTAGTTAAATACGTTTTGTTTTTTTTTTTTTTTTTGTTTTTTTTGTTTTTTTTTTCTCTTCTTTATTGAATAGTGGTATACTTTGATTGACTTGAAACTAGTGATCGTGGTTGTTAATTTTGGCGTAGACATGGTTTTAGGTGGACCACTTCGCTCCATATATGTATATATATATAGTCAGGAAAGGAGTTAGGATTTTAAAAAAGAGTAGAATAATTTTAAAAGTCTAAGACATAGAAAAAGGAAAGAATAATGATATAACTTTAAACAGAGCGTGACTGAAGCAGAAATTTTTTACTTGTTTAAGGAAATTAAAAAAAAAAAATTAAGAGAGAGGAAAAAAAGAAATAATTAGGAGATAATTTTAGTAACTAAAATAATTTAAAAAAGTATTATATACAAAATTGTATATATACCTAAAGAAACAAAAAAAATAGCCATACATAATAATATATGGGGCAAATGGAGGCATGTGCGCCCTTCGTATATATACTGGCTCCGCCCCCTATCCATATATATATATATATATATATATATATATATATATATATATAGTCAAATCCAATTTGGATCGAAAACTCGAATACTCTTTTAGATGGAAAATAATAATTCCAAGAAGAGGGTCTCTCGCTTGTTCCTTCCATCGTGGGGATGCAAAACAGTATCGGACATTGTCAAAAACTCCATTATCGTCACCCAAAACCACCAAAATGCTCACCATACCCAACCACTCTCTTCCATTCGCATTCCAACACATCCTTCTACAATCAAAACACCTCAAATCAAAACACCTCAAATCGTTAGAAAACAGGTCATGAATGAGACCCTTCCTAAACAATCAAATACGAAGAACAGTTCTTCTTCAGATGGTGCTTGGTTTAGCAGTGAAGAAGAAGAAACCTTTCAAAGCCTATCATCCGACGCCAATTCGAGGTCTCGTCGCCTGAATTTGACCACCAATAGCCGTAAAACACCCAAACCTAGCCGGAGAAGAGTCAGCACCAGAAGCTCTGAAATGGGTCGTTTCGCATTCGACGTATCGCCGATAGATGTTTTTGGCCGTCACGTGAGTCCTCGCCGGGAAACCGCCAAAAGCCAACCGAAAACCAGAGATGCTCCCCGGAAAACCGCCAAAACAAGATGGGGTACTGAAATGGGCAGTTCCCAATTATTTCAGAAAAGCTTCAGGGAACCAGCCGATTTTTATTACGGGAGTTGTATCCGGGAAACCACCAAAAGTCGCCGGAAAACCAGGGGGAGTGGCCGGGGAAGAAGTGTGGTTCAGTATCCAGTAGCTGTAGACGGAAGAGTTGAAGAGAGTTATGCAGTGGTGAAAACTTCGGGTGACCCTTACAGTGATTTCAGGGTCTCCATGGTGGAGATGATAATAGAGAGACAGATACTTGGATTTGAAGATCTTGAGAAGCTGTTGGACTGTTTTCTTTCTTTGAACTCATCTCATCATCACAAGATCATTGTTCGTGTTTTCAGAGAGATTTGTGAAGCTTTGTTTTCTAATTAAATCTTACTAAATTGTTCATGAAAGGGTTAAATTACTCTGTTCTTAGTTCTGGTTTCTTTATATATATTTAAAACCATTCTTCAGAGCTCTCGGATTTGCTAATCTTTGTTCTCTTTTGGATACGGTTATGTAGTTGAGTGTTTACATTGGATCCGGTAAGTATATATGGATTGATATGAATTATTACACTTAGTTTGTTTTATAATTTGTCCCCCCTCGTTACAAATTAAGTCTACATTATTATGTATTTTACACGATCTTTTCATCTTTTCATACGGCGACATCCCTCTCTTTTTAATTCCATTATTTTCTCCTCGGTCTTTTGTATTCCATTATTTTAGATTTCCTAACACTTTTATTTCCTTAAATTATTTACACACCACAATTTGTAGCTATTTCCTTGTATTATTAAACTTCCTAACATTTTATTCTCTTTCTCATATTATTAAATTTCCTAACATTCTTATTTTCTTATATTATTAGACTCCAACTAATTGTAGCAATTTAAACTTTTTGCTCCACTTTTCTATTAATTAAAATTTGTAATTCTAATACCTATATAATTTTTTTTCCCTCTTTATTTCTTCCACATTTTTCATCTATATTAATTATTGAATATATATCTAACTTCAATCTTTTCTTATTTACTTTTATATTTCCCCTCTCAGTTTAATTCACTTCAACAAATGAACAACCAAATCATTTAAAATAAATAGTGAAAATAAAAAATATCATTGACATTATCAAGTGCTTAAGTCACCTTAGGAGGCCAATTTAATTATATTAAGCCGCTTTTCAAGTTCAATTTTGACGTGTTCTTTTGATTCTCCCAAATATAACTTAATTTTCTGATAATTTTCCCCTCTGATATGGGGAACAATAATTGATTATGAAGTGCTCTAATGCGTTAGACACCATCATCGTGTCAGGCCCGGTAAATAAATCCAGCCCAGGGGACAGGCTGGATTGAAAAAAGAAAAGGATATGGTTGGGCCTGGACTGAGTTGAAAATGAATTCCATAGTTATTAGTCTAAGGTCAGGCCGAACCGTTTCTTTCATAAAAGAACAACCCTAATAACTTTAAAAGCAATAAAATCACGCACCTTATGAATAGAATAATGTCACCACTACAAATTTTAATGAATTTGAAAAAAAAAAAATTTTGACAAGATAGACCGAGATGTCATAGTAATAAATGTGTTATTCAATTAACAAAGTAAGGAGTCTCTCTCTCAAACAAAGAAATTCATTTGCTCTAGTTCCAGATTTTTTGGAATAAAAACCAATACCAACCAAATTTAAGAAGGAAAAAAAAAAAAAAAAAAACCCTATTGTCAAAATAGAAAATACTCGGCTCTTTTCGCCTCTCTTGCTCACATGATATGAAGAGAAATAGAAAATACTCGCTTTTTTGGTAATTACTTTAATTATTAAATTGGTGAAATAGAAAATACTCGCTTTTTTGGTAATTACTTTAATTATTAAATTGGTTGTATTGATAATCATAAATTTGGAAACTAAAATAGACGGAGGATGATTTTTTAGTAAAAGAAAAGAAAAAGTAAAATGATATTATTGACTATTTTAATATCCCGACCTAAAATAGACAAATTCAAAATTTTAATTTAAATAGGCATCATTACTACTCGTGTTTGTTTTGATAATTTACCCTCTTTCTATTTCCTTATCTTTTCAGTTTTATATAGTCCATTTTTTTTTTTTTTAATCTTTTTAGTTTTCCATAACCATATCATCTTTCTTTTTCACAGTAAGTTTCATTTATTCAAATTTTATAATTTGATTTGTACAAAAATCTAGAGCAAAAGCTATAATGTTTTAAAATTTTTCCATACTTTTACATTTTTTTTTTTTTTTTAAATTTCTTTTATTGTCTTTGTTTTTGGGAGTTAAATAGATCATTAGTTTTGATCATTATAATAATTAACAAATACCTATCAAAGTAATAGATGAATATTAATAATCAAAAACACAATCTGAAGTTGCTTACACTGTTAGCTGGGGGGGCTACAAGTCTAAAGGGCGGGTTGTTACGAGAGTTCCCACGTCATAAAAAATATATATATAAAAAAAAAAAAAAAAAAATCTGAAGTATGTCAATAATTCTTACAGAAACTTTAATCGCCAACAAAAAAATCCTAAATTAATATAAACTTAGAAAAAATATTATAACTTTCCAATCAAATTACCTTATATTTTAGAAAGAAAAAAACACCTTATATTTTAAAGTGAGTCCCATATTTGACACATGAGTTGCGACATAAATTCGATAAAGCAGTAGGTTTTTATTTATCGGGCCAAATAGTTGTTGGTCCAAATAAGAGGACTCAAAGAAAAACAGTAAGTTTGAATAGTATAATTGTACAAGTGCTTTAACTCTGATCAAAATTTTAATGGGTTGTAAAGCTTTGAAGCCTTCCGGCTGTAAAAACATTCTGCTGAACAAAGTGAGTCCATATTGAAAGTTGAAGCCCAGGAAAGTGGTGTCTTGTTGGCCCAAATCCTCAATTTTCTATTTCAATGTGATGCAGTATATCAAAATAATAAAAGAAGTACTTCATACTTTTATATAGATAGTTCTAATAATCGAATGAATAGATTTTGGATACAAAATATATTTTTCTCTACTTTTACCAAATAAAGTTTCATTTTTTTTTTGCTTTTTCTAGATCGACAAAAGAAGAATAAAAAGAAGTCACTGCTCTATGAAATAGTTTAATCTCAAATCGAAGTGTGAAGAAACAAGTTTTAGTATTAGAAAATTTAAATTTCATTAGGCTGTGGTATGGAATTGAAGAAAATTTTAGTTCAATTTTTTGAATTGTTTTTCTATCAATTCTAATCCCAAAGTTTCAATTAATTCCAGCCAAACATAGCGTTAATACATTTAACAATCTTGGGATTACTCCTAATAAATGAGGGTATCTCTCCACCTCTAAAGGAGTTATTTTTATGTATGTATACAGTAATAAAAATTATAGGTTACATGGTCATAAAAAATTGTTTATGAGCTGAGAATTCTTAATGGTCGCTTCTAGATTTATGAAACACCTCCTTTTTTTTTTTTTTTTTTAAGTGTGTTATTTTGTAGTTATAGTTAAGCAAGATGCATCAGAGCAAGTGATGCTGGTAAATGCCTCATCATCCTTATTTGAATCCTATATAAATTTGGTAGACCAACTCTTAAAAGTTAATATGAATTAAAAATCTTAATTTACCATTATGAGTTATTCTTTAAAAAAAAAAAAATTTAAATAATAGAGAACCAATTACAAAATATTTCTTTTTAAGATAAAAAAAGAAATAAATTTACTGGAATATAACAGAAATAATAGGGGTTAAGAATTCATGCACTGTCCTATAAAATTCTACAAGAAAGAAAGTTGTCATACGTATTAATAAAAATCTATTAACATGTGAAAAATATGTGTATCTAAAAAGGAAAAAAATTCTAAACAGTATAACTCTAGACTATTGCAAAGAGAATAAGAGGATATGGAATATTAACATGTGAAAAATATGTGTATCTAAAAAGGAAAAAAATTCTAAACAGTATAACTCTATACTATTGCAAAGAAAATAAGAGGATCTGGAAGTGGGTTATAAATACCATGGCTGGAATGAAGAATCTAGCGCACAAAGTTTTCCAACATGGTTCCAAATTTTCTGAAATGGACCTCTTTTTACGTTTAAATAATTTTTAATAGTTTCATCAAACTTTTCAAGGATCACGATACCAGCTTCATATATTCTTTTATATTCAATCATGCAGAAATAAAAACAAAAGATGTATATTAAATGCGATGCATCATATCAAGAATTAAAGAAATTCATATAATGTATGGCAAATTGAATAACTAAAATCAATCGTATAAATAAAATTTGGACACGAAATATATTATTTATTTATTTATTTTTCATGTGACCATTTATGTTTTACACACACAAAAAAGTTTTTTTAGTTAACAACTTTTTAGAGCTCTTTTCCCTGTCTTTCCCAAAATGTAGAGCTTCTTGTTGTTGCCAATGAAATATCACCTCTTCCATATATATATATTTTTTGTTACTAAGATACTATTGATTTAAGAATCCAAAAACAACTTCCTAACATTACCTTTGTACGATTTCTATCAATTTTGTGCCAGTGGGTAGGAAGCAAGAAGCAAGAAAAAAAAAAAAAAAAAAAATTGTGCGTGTGCAATTGTAGATGATGATAGCAACGAGACATAACTTATCCCAAGTTTCTTTATTTGTCTTAGAATTATTTTAATTTTGAATATATATGCAGTTCATTGTTAGATTTTAACTCAATATAAGCTTTTATATTTTTTACAAATATATAAATAAATAAGTAGTAGTAGTTGTTAATTTTTCAATTTTTTTTTCCTTATTGTTTAACGGTTATGGGTAGAGGTGGCAATTTGTGTTCACCGAATATTATCGTGTCACGTCGATTTAAGGGTATTATACTAAATAGATCAATCCGAAGATGACTCGTTTAATAATCGTGTCAGAGACATCAACACCAACCTAATTTATTAAAATGATTACACGTGTTAAACTGTTTAATTACCTTTCCGACAAAACCAGATATTATTTATTTAGATTATTTATAATCCTCAATTTTAAAAAATATAAGCCTTAATCTAACCAAATTACTAAATAGTGTATAGTCCACAATAATAAGTTAAAAGACTCAAGTTTAAATAGTTATTACAGATGCTAATTAATAATAGCTAAGGGGCTAATATATATTTATGCAAGGTTTGTGAGAGTTTACGTTGAAATGATCTAATTGTCCATAATTAAACTGGTATAGAATTCCTTAATTCTAACATGACACGTTTAATTAATTATTTAGATTAATCGTATCAACTCATTTACGGCTCAAATTCGTTTAAAATCAATCCAAACTCGCTTTAAAATCAATCCAAACTCGCTTATCTAGTATCGTGTTTAAATTGTACTAATTGATCATGTCAAATTTTTCCGTCCTTAATTAAGAAATAACTTTTATCACTATTTTCATCAAGTGGGCTGTTTTTACATTGGAATTCGTA